ACAGACAAGCTAAAAAATGGAATAACCCATCATATATTAAACATCATATTACAAAATTTGAAGGTAAAAAGTTAACTTACAGGAAACATTGTGATAACATTTGTATTATTTTTTGAATCCTTATTTTCCATAACAGACCAATACTGGTTATACAGTTCTTCATCAAAAAATTTCTTGTAAGGAAATATAAAATTAGAATCAAATTTTTCATAAGTCTGTGGTGTAACAGGATATGAAACACATGTAATATAATCCTGTGAGTCCAGATATTGAATTAAGGTTTTAATCCATTGCTTATTTCCTCTTCCATATTTCTGAAGAATACTATTTGATAAATTTATTTATAGTCTTGTAACTATAAATAAAATACTTATAAATTTATATTCTTTTTATTATTTAAAATTAATACTTACCTAACAATATCTTTATGAATTCCTATAACATTAAGTATTTGGCATGCTAGTATTCCTACATAAGAAGGATCTAAAGTTGTCATTGAGATGATAGTATTTTGCCCATGTAATATCTTATCAATATAATTGGAATGGTGGACAGTCTGAGAAATTGTTAACACACAAATAATATGATGATATGCACGAGCTGCATTATATAACAGTTTCCAAGAAGCATTATCCATATTATGTGCATCATCTATTGCTATCATAATAGGATAAAGTTCCATTATCTGAAATATATTAACCATTATTACAAAACTTAATATTCTGTATATCAGAATAATTATTATACAGTATTTGTTTAATAATAAATATTCATTAATTATTTATAAAGTATAATTATTATATTTGATTCAAAAATGAAAATCATCAAAACTGATAGTTGTTCTCACTAATTCTCACTATTAAAACTTGAATAGAACTAGCAATTATTTATTGTAACATTGTCACAATGCCTGGTTTCAATTTGTAATCATTTTTTTAATTTTAAAAAGTCACATGATTTCTGATCCAGACCATGAAAGTTCATACAGTAGAGCGTCGTTTATCCGAATCAATTGGGGACTGGGGTTGTTTGGATAACTTATTTTTCGGATAAGCGATTATGTATGAAAAAATATATTAACCTATCCCGTGTTGAAATTTTTCTCTGTTGCGTGTCGCTTCGTGTTGAATTTTTGTCGATGTTAAGCCTAATGTAAACTTTTTAAAATAATAATCGTGGCTATTGTATCGTTAAAAATGATTTCTTTATGTTTTACAAACGAAATAAATACATTGAAAAATATAAAAACAAATAAAAATTATACTTTAGGCCGACTGGAATTCTTTCCGATAACCGACTTTCGGATAAACGATGCTCTACTGTATATAGTTANCATAAAGCATAACATGCCTGATATGCTTTTTATCTGAAGACATTTCAACTTGATTTTATATGAAGTAAATGTGAAGTAAAATAAAATACTGATGGTGCAATTGCATTTCACAGTATTTCAACAAAAAACCATCAGTATTAAAACAAAATGTGACGTAAAAAGCTTATTGTATTGAATTAAAAAGCTGTGAAATTGTATTCTTTGTTTAGAAGCTTCTGAACAAAGAATACAATCTCACATTGGCAATAATGTGTTAAATTTCACAACTGGTATAATTAAATCACACATCTGTTAAGTAACAACAGTTGTTAAAAATAGGCAAAAACTTCATATTCAACTCAATATAACCTTTACTTATTAACTACAGCACTCAATAAATGTGTGGGAGCAACAAAGTTTAAGAAAAAGGTTGTGATGTTGGTGACTGAGATGAAAAATTCATATAAAATTCAAAATAAATTCTACAGAATAAAAAATAAATATAAAAATTATATTTTATTTTTTATAATTCTAAAGGTTGTCTAATTCTATTATAAAAAATGTATTTAAGTAATAAACTGAGCTATTGAAAATGATAATTACCTTCAGTAGCTAAATTTGTTAACAAATACATTTGTAAATTCTTTATGTCACATACAAAACTACATTTTAAATATTTTAAGCCACAAAAGGATGAAATTATCTAGATTACATACTATAAAAAAGAAACTTTAATTTTAAAACACAGTGGTAGCTCGTACTTCAAATGCTAAATTTGAAAAAAATTTGCTTCAGAGTTTGAACTGCACTGAAAGTGTAAATGCAATCTGTTATGTTCTCAAGTTGGCTCTTTCTTTTTTTTTTTTTTTTTTGTTGTTTTTTTGTTATACTTTATATATTTTGTGTTTGTCATTGACTTTTAATAATTTCTTCTTGCAATTTTTCTTTGTTGACAGTTTTTGAGTGTCTCATATATTTTGTATCCTTTAGTTCAAAGTTTTCTTAATTGAACTTTTTACACTAGAATTAACGTGTTCAAACTTTAGCAGTATATTCCCCATACACATTAGAATTTCTTTTTACTGTTTGTATAGTGTTATATTCTTTCCAAAACTCATAAAGCATAACATGCCTGATATGCTTTTTATCTGAAGACATTTCAACTTGATTTTATATGAAGTAAATGTGAAGTAAAATAAAATACTGATGGTGCAATTGCATTTCACAGTATTTCAACAAAAAACCATCAGTATTAAAACAAAATGTGACGTAAAAAGCTTATTGTATTGAATTAAAAAGCTGTGAAATTGTATTCTTTGTTTAGAAGCTTCTGAACAAAGAATACAATCTCACATTGGCAATAATGTGTTAAATTTCACAACTGGTATAATTAAATCACACATCTGTTAAGTAACAACAGTTGTTAAAAATAGGCAAAAACTTCATATTCAACTCAATATAACCTTTACTTATTAACTACAGCACTCAATAAATGTGTGGGAGCAACAAAGTTTAAGAAAAAGGTTGTGATGTTGGTGACTGAGATGAAAAATTCATATAAAATTCAAAATAAATTCTACAGAAT